AGTGAAAATTGTCCATAAATCCTATGTACCTGTACGAAAAATTCGGTCTTTTCTTACAGTGATTATCACCTACTTACTACAAAGATACTGAATTTCGTTAGTTGGGACTAGATCGTAACTCCGGTTGCTCACAATTCATCCCCATCAGTACTTGCAGTGTTGTTCTTAGTTGGACACTCGTTAGTCACTAAGCGACATCAAGAAAAAATTGACAAAACTGTAATCCTGTTGATATTGAGCAAACTGGAAGATCCTCGATATCTTACTGTGCTTGATTAACCAGGGAAAGTCGAGAGAGACAAAGCATTTGTCACAAGAATAAAATTGTAAATTGTTGCCACTTAAAAGCTCGACTCACGGTGCTCGGGTGCTTGAAGAGCCTTGGGCGTCGTATCATATACCGAGGTGATCAATAAGCAAGTGTTTTTCACCTAAATCAGATTACCAAATAGGGATCACGCAGTTTCGAATCATGCTAAATGTGACGTCCGAGCAGGGAACATGAAGCTGCAACAATACCGAACCTGTAACCCCACGACAACCAAAATCTAACATCTGTGTATGATCCGAAGCCTACATCAATGAAAGCAAGAAACAATCAAAGCAACATGAAACCCTCTTCGAGCGAAAATCAAAATGCTAAAATCGCATCACAGATCTTTGAATACTTCACACCAAATAGAAGTAAGAAGGACTACAAAAGACTACTGGACACTGTTGAATCAGCAGCTACTATTTCCTGAGTAATTCAAGACAAGGTCTTCCCCAGTTGAATGAGACAACACCACAAAATTTGATCCCCTGTTGTCTTTTCGGCTACAAAATGGACAGCAAGCATATAACATGGGTTCATGCTGCGAATGAACATGATCGACTACAAAATTACCGTCCCCTACTCTAGTAAAGAACACAGCACCGACTCATTTCTTGGCCTTCTTCACTGGCGTCGTCTTCAGCCTCGCGGGGGGCAACCCTCTTCACAGGGCGTCGCCTTCGCATCGAAGTCTGCACCGGACGACCTCGCCGCGGTGCCTCAACTTCCACCGCCGCTGTTCCGCCTTTTGCTCGGCCACCCGCAGCAGCTTGTTCTTGGGCTTGGCTGTGATGCAGGCTTTGCCTTACGCCGGTTCTTCCATCGCCAAAATCAGCTCAAAAATTGCCAAGCTCGGCGTGCTCTCCTCAAATTGCTGTCCAGCATTCTCGCTTACGTCGCCAAACTGTCACGCGACGATCTTGTACAGAGAGAGGAAGGGGCAGCCCCTTCTGCCTCAACGGCAAAAGTGCGCGCGAGGGGCGGAGATCCTGGTGGAGTACGTGATAAGAAAAAAAGGAGACTCTGGGCTTTATTATGTTCAACATCATGTACTCCCAGAGAAGACGTGAGGATATTCAAAACGAAGGAAGGACATACAAAGTTGTGAAAGTTTCTGTTTGCTGGATAGTCAGCCGCTGAAGAGGAAATCCCTTCTGCTCTTTCCTGTTCGAGGACTTCTGCATGAGCGAACCTCACCGAGGACCGCCAAGCCACGCCACCGCGAGCTACATCGTGCCACCCCACCGGTAAGGTCTCACCTAGGGCGATTCCCGAGATTCACCGGCTCGTCAATTTGGAAGGAAATTATTGGACTAAATTTGAATATTCGATATTACTGCCTAATTCATTAACATTGTGATCCAACGTGAATATTCCAGGTGATAGGCAATTTTCTATTATTTTTTAATTGCGAATTTTAATAGAATATACCAAAAATACCATGTGCATGTCATATAGGTTTAGTTGCATCATCCATGCATCACTTTTTGCCATGTCATCATCCACGTCATCATGTATGCCACGTCATTGCTTATAGGTTATTTAGTGATCATATGCTAGGTTCATAACATGGTATGTTATGCTGGAATAGTTACATGTCAATTTTGCTCATCATTAGAAATTGCATGTTAGGTCATTTAATAAAAAATTGCGCGTCACATTAGAATAGGCATACTTTGTACGTCATTGCATTTAGAGTAATTACATTACATGCATCGCATATAGGATAGTTTTCATTTAAATAAAAGAAAACCCTAAAAAAGATTTGAATGAAAATGCGTGCTAATTAGAAACCATATTTAGGTTAAATGTGTTTTTTCAAACCAACTTTGTAAGGTGTTGCCTCAGCAGTCATCTTAGCTCTGCCTTGCTGACTTCCATGGCAAGTCCAAGCTGAATAACTGATTCCTGGTTGAGAGAATTAAGTCATCATTTATCTTTGAAGATATTTGTGGTGTGTTGGCTACTTAATAATCCTATTTCTAACCATAATGCTTATCTTGTGGCACATCAAATGCTCAATGTGTACTTCCGGCTTTGTCATGTGTTTGTCAGTGTAAACAGTGTTGCATTATAAGAAACTCCGAAACTCGGAAAGCAAAGCTTGTTGCTTCTTCCATGATATGTAGTATTGATTGATTGACAAGTGGAACATAAGATGTTACTAAATTGCCTGGTTGGTTTACCTACTCTAGTCTCTAGTTAACTAGAGAGCCAATTACAGAGATATCTTCTAGTGATTTTTGAACTCATTTCTTGAAGCAATCCGAATTTTTATGAAGATTCTCATCCGCTTTCTTCTCCAGTTTCGGACCCTTTAGCCTAAATTCAATAGCTTAATGCCAATTTCATCTGTTTATGTAATCCCTATAGTATACCTCCCCAAAAGATTTATGAAGATCAGATAATGAACCATTAGCTGTTACGTAACCGTTTAGGGGTTATTGGTTATGTTGGATGGGAGTGTTGCCAATGACTCATTAATTTTTAAGATTAGGATAATGACACAAATGGTCTCCAAATTTTGGTCTAATGTGATCCTGAAACTTTTGATTTGTTCAATATTGTCCTTCAATTTTATTCCGATGTGCAGTGTCGTCCTTGAACTTTTAATTAATGTGGTCCCTAAACTTTTGATTTTATTTTCAATCTAACCCTAAAACTATATGAAAATATTCAATATTGTCCCTCAACTTCAATTAATTTAAGTTTAGGGACAACATTGAACATTTTCATACAGCTTAAGAATTAAATTGAACATGTATCAAAAGTTGAGAGATGACAGATATTGCACATTGGGCTAAAGTTCAGGGACAATATTGAATAAATTAAAAATACCTGATTATTTTTGTCATTTTCCCTTTTCAGATTAAATAGTGTTTTGTTGCCATCTTGTGGAATTTGTGAGGAGTGGCCGTTATTTCGGTTGGCAAAATCAGCCACCCTCTCTCTCTCTCTCTCTCTTCCCGGCAAAACCCAAACAAGAGTCCCACACCAACATTCACACAAAACTATATCTTACATAATTTTCAAAAGAAATGCAATTTCACAATAAGAAAAAATACCCGGCATTTTCACAAGGGATAAAAATCAAAGCCAAAATCATGTAATTTTTCGAATGGATTTCAAAAAAACACTTTTTAATATGATGTATTTAAAATTAATCGAAAAGCGATATCTTTTAGGTTCAAAGATTATCTCTTCCGCAACAACAAGAAGAACACAGTGGCCCCAATCCTTACCCTTCTCTAATCCCCAAAACCCAAATATTTTAAAAATAGGCATTAGAAGATATTCATTAACATAATAATGTATTTAAAAATTATTGGAAAAGCAATATCCTTTAAGTTCAAAAAATTATTTCCTTCTCAACAAGAAAAAGAACTCAGTGGCGCCAAAACCTCCTCTTCTAAACCCTCCCCACTCAGAACCAGAACCAGAACCAGAAGTACAAATTCTTCTCAGCCGGATATGAAATCGTTCGCCATCACCGCCGCTGCCACCGCCACTGCCATGCTCTTCCTCAGCATCGCTTCACGGCTGATCAAATGCCGCGGCAGCAGGAAGGACGCAAATGCCACGTCGGATGCCGGTTTCCTCAGGGACCGTCCGAGCGGAGTGAGCGTCGATGGCGGCAGGAGGGCTGCGAGGTAGTAGTAGGAGGAGAAAATTTTTGACACAGGGGCATGCTCGTATGTCACGAGGCAAAATTTTGCTCTTCGGATTAAAGGCCTGATGATGCGCATCCGGATTCGAATGGTTCAACCCATGAGTCTAATCGGGGATAAATCCTCAACATTGCATGTAATTTCAATGTTAAACCCTTATGCAAGAAGTCCCATATGAGCTGCCTGAACATGCACTGTGTGATGTTAAGACGGATGAATACATGAAGGAGGCGTCGAGGACCAGCTTAGAGGGGCATGAATGGAATGAGAACGGGCTGAACACTCATTTTAGATCGAAGAACTGCCAGGACAGTGAGCATCCATCTCATTCCTGGGCCTTGAAACGTCTTGGAAAGGTGCCTCGACGGCCTTAGAACGATATAAATGAAGGTGAAGTGACCGAACGAATCAAATTTATTTGATTCACAAAATGCAGGTATCACCGAACTAATTACCTCTTCTAAAGCTCATATCAAAATGATTTGAACGCGTGCAGCGACAAAGATGTCAGCACGACGGGAAGATGCCCGGTCGGCTGCAAATCTTGATCGCGCAGAGTCTCGTGACGTTCTCGATGGACTTCATGAAGCTTTTCACGTTCAAGTAATCCAACAAAAGGGTTAAGGATTGCTAGCACGCTCACACCATGAAATGAACCCAGAAAATTTTTTAGCATGAGTTGCTCAAATTTTTTGGCGTTCTTCCTCACCGATTTTCCCTTTTTTTCTTTTCTCGAATTCTTGATCCTCTCGGTTTGTTTTCTCTCTTCTTACTCTCTCTCTGTAATCAATGTCGCCACGTATATCTCTCCTTCTTTCCACCTTGACGGCAGCCCCTCGTTCCTTTTCTAGTTTTTCCTATTTTAGTCCCTAGAAACCAGCTCATAAATCCTGACAGCCACCTATTTTGATCTCTCACGGACGCTGAAGGTATTCTAATGCGTGTGATCTTCATTCTTGCCTCTGACATTTCTTAAGATTTCCTGATGTGGATGATCTTCTGATTTGTCAGAGTCCTGGGTTCTAGATTATTTCTTCTCTTCCACAACAAGAAGCAGAAGAACACAGGGGAGCTAAGCCTCTGCAACCTGTCGTTTCCATGGCTCCCTCCTCTCTCTCTTCCCTTTATCTCTCTCACCACCACCAGGCCAACCCTTTCCCTTCCCTGACCCCCAAACCCACCTTCCCTCGCCTCCCTCTTCGTCCCCAGAACCTTGCCTTCTCTTCTAAACCCTCCGCTCAGACCCGGAACCAGGACCAGAGCCAAAACCAAGACCAGACCCTGAAGCTCAATTCTTCTCAGCCGGACAAGAAATCGTTCGCCATCGCCACTGCCGAGCGCTTCCTCGGCTTCGCTTTGCAGCTGATCAAGGGCCGCAACAACAGGAAGGCGGTGAGTGCTGGGTCAGAGACCAGCTTCCTCAGGGATGGTACGAATGGAGCCAGCATCAATGGCAGCGGGACGGGCGCGAGATGTGACAGTAAGGAGAGGATCGGCATCGTGATCGAGGACGAGATAGAGCCTGATGTGATAGGGGAGCAGAGGATAAAGGATGTGGAGGCAGAGCAGAAGAGGAGAGTGGTGACTAGTCCTGGGTTCAGCTTCTCGGCCGCCGGGCTCTTGTTCCCTTACCATCTTGGGGTCGCACAATGCCTCATCGACAAGGGCTATATCAAGGTTCAATTTTGTTTTCTAACTCCGGGTTACTTTGGTCCTCTGTTAGATTTTTCTCGGCTGATTGGTGATAAAAATGATATTCAAGTGTGCTTATCGGAAGTCGAGTTAGGTTTGAAGTTCGTTGTGGCTTTTGTCTTGGTTAGTTCAGCGCAATTTCACAAAATGGACCATCTTCATGGGTATGGTGTGCCTGTAACTAATCAGGACAATGAGGAGAGTATGCTTGCTGATCGTTTGCAAGGTGATCCTCTTAATGGGTTTGATGTGCCTGTAACTAATTGGGACAATGAGGAGAGTATACTTGGGATTGGCGATGTCAATTGGTTCAATCTGTAGCACTGTCGGTGATTTTTGACTTATGCGATCGCCTTCCTTTTATTTAAACTGATATAGGCATCAGATTGCAATACCATGTATGTCCAAGTTAAGGTATATATCAGATACGTTTTTCGATTCCTATCTCGCAGTTGAATTCAGTTCGTGACCCAAATGCCATGAAGAGTGACTCTATTAATTACCAAGTCACATTGGAAACGTTCATTTTCCCACTAGTCTGTCGAACTCATGAATATATCAGTTCCACTTATTTCGGATATGGCCCCAATCAAATCCTATAGTTTCTGTCACGATTCTTTGTGTGTAGCAATGTAACAGTTTCATACTAAGTTTCTAGCATAAGCTTATTATTTATGGTATGCATGACAATTTACAGTTCACTGAAAACCACACTGGTTGACAACCTTCTATTGCCGTTAAAGTCCGATTCTTGTTTGAAACAAATCTGGTGTTTGAAATTTCTAATCAATAGAAGTTCATGACATATATGTGAATGCCATTATTCTTTTGTCATGGGCCTCCTAACTACTTAATAAAGCAAAAGGGATTTGTTTATATTATCTCATGGAGAAATGAGGTACTTTAGTGAATCTTATTTCATGATTCAATTTAAAGCATCCTTTGGCAATACATATCTTGACATGACATCCATATTATGTACTAGTAGAGTCAACAACTGTTGACTGTTCAGTCCTTTATTATGTGTTCTTTACCCTAGTCTGCTTAGTTACCGAGAATGCACCAGTTGTTTGCTAATGTTTAGGATTACTAAAAGATTAGATACATCAAGCAGCTAAAGTTAACTTTTTATCTTGCTTTATTCCCATATATTGTTTGTAACTAGTAGCTTCCCTACGCGTTGTGTGGGTTTCCATGTACATGTGATATCACTTGTCTACTTAGTGACTTGGTCTTTAATTACGTTCTGTTCCGTCTTAGGAAACCACGCCACTGGCTGGTTCGTCATCTGGCGCCATAGTATGTGCAGTGATTGCTTCTGGAGCCAGCATGGAAGAGGCTTTGATGGCTACTAAGGTACTCGCCGATGATTGTCGGAGAAGAGGAACTGCTTTTCGGCTCGGGGTATGGACTGTACTTTTCTCATGATACTTTTTTTATTTCATTTATCTTCGTATCATCTTTCCCAAGGATTGTGGACATAACTTTCACTCGGTACGTCGTTAATCTAAATCAATTACTGAGGCAGATCAATTTAATGTTCTTATGAACGAGCCATAATATGAGGTTTCAGCTAGCTTTTTGCTGGTTTATATGTGATCAGGACTGTGTTTTGATTAGAATTAAAATCGCAGCCACTGCAGAACATGGTTTTTCTCTTATCTTGTTAAATGAGGAGTCAAAAAAGTTTGTGCAGACTAAGAAGTACCGTGTTCGTTATTATTCACTGTTTCTGCAGGATTCTATTTTGTCGTCCAAGACATTAGCCCTGCCAAACATGGCATTGATTCTCATTAATATGAAATTTAAGCTTACGTATACCATAAATAGCATTTCTTATGTTCCTTGTGCATAGGCTGTTCTTCGTGATGTGCTTGATAAGTTCCTTCCCGAAGATGCTCATACCAGGTCCAATGGAAGGGTCCGCAGTAAGTGGGAATTCCATCTTTCATCCCCTGTTCTTTCTCTCTGCCTGCTGCCCTGTATGCTCTATCTAGCACATTTATGTTGTTGTGTAAATGACCATTGATTTTCTGACAATGTGATCTTGAGTTTGTGTTAACTTATTGAAGAATATTAGTGACTCACTCAAGGGAGAAAAATATGAATGCTAATGGCTGGTAGAGTTGTGGAGAAAGAAATTAGGTTATCAGTATCACTTTAATTGACAAATGACCGTGCAGGAGCCTATCCCAACCTCTTCCCAACTCTTAACAATCCTTAAAAGTCCAATACCTAGTCTTTGTATGTATGTTTTTCTCTCATATGCATTCATTCTGTCAACTGCTTATGTTGTACACTTGCCGCAAGATAGGGTAGATAGGGATCTTGGAATTATGGAACTGTGGTCCCGATTGATATAGAGAATTTGAAGTTAGGAAGTGGTGGGACTTTAAGCTGTTTGGCTTGTAGTACTTGGTGCTATGGGTCGTCCCCTGTCCTCTTATTTGTTTTCTAACTTCTAAAAGCAGGACATGTCTTGTTTTCAAACTACTCTTTTCTCCCCTTGTTTTGTCCATCCTACTTCGGTTTGAGATTAGGATTCATCTCGCTAAAGCAGGGGCATTAAAATTCTATTTATCAGCGGCAATTCATAGGGGGAAAGTAGTTGCAGATTTTGCTTCTTCATAGGAAAAGTCTTGAACTGAAGCTTATTGTGAAAAGCGAGTGAAGTGGTATCCTTGGCTGGAAGTTGTGTTGGGTGTTGCAGCAATTATGCCTTTATCTAGTAGCTGAGACTGTACTTGTATTGGACTCTTAGGGGTTACAGGACTGGATCGGAAAGACTCTTGTGAATTTCGAGTGTACTCTTCTATATGCAATTAGAGGAACTTGACTAGTGGCTTATGTTTGCGATAGTTCATGGAAGTCACCCCTTAAAATGAATTTCATATTGAGTTATCAATTTTTCCTCGAGTATTATTTGCTGCATCTTCTTAAGATTTTGGTGTTGCAGTTGCCGTTACCCAGATCCTTCGGAGGCCTAGGGGTTTACTGGTGGATCAGTTAGACTCCAAAGAAGATCTTATCAATGCATTAGTAGCTTCTTCCTTCATCCCGGGGTGAATAGTTGCTAAATTTCTTTTCTTCGTAGTAAATTGCCTTTCCCAATGCAGCTTTCAGAGAGCTATAGTCTGTTGCAGATATACGGCGCCACAACCAGCCACATTATTTCGTAATCGACTGTGCATTGATGGGGCTCTGACGATGTTCATGCCACCTACATCTGCTGCTCAAACCGTATGTGCTTGAGATATTATATTTCTTTAGCACGTTAAAGAGAGAGCTGATTTGTCTCGAAAAATCATGTAAACCTTTCCGTGTTTACCTGGCATCCAAAGAAACCACATGTTTCGACATCATAGCATCTAAATACGAAACATGTTCAGGTGAAAGAGACCTATTAGGGAGAAGGGTGGACTAATTACTTGGTGAGAATCATTAAGGTTGATTCCAATATCTGTCAGTTGGGAGTGAAGAAAATGTCACGATTAGTTTTGGCAACCTGGAACTTCATGTCGGTGCTTGTGTTGGGGTTTTCCCTTAACCACACTCAATGATGACTCAGTTTTAGGCCGTTGAAATGTTTATCCATAAGAGATGTTCAAATTTTAGTTGTTTGGTAGTACGAAAAGGAGAATTTAATAGTAGCAATATTGCTTCTTGAAATTCTCTTTGCATACTCTAGCTCTTTAGCATGGAACTTATTGAATTGCTTCAGCAGTTCTTTAATTTTTCTCATCCTTTCTTTAATATGTTGAATGGCTTGTTTTACCCCGTTCTATATAGTAATCTATTTTGTGTTTTTCTACCTTGGCCTATTTCCCGGTTCGTGACTGGTAAATACGGTTGAGATGAGCTCTCATGCATTCTGCATGCCTTTTCGGTAGAAATATCTTGTTATTTTCGTAAACTTGGTGACCTCTAAAGTATTGTTAGGCACGGATCATTGCGTTTTTGGCCATAGTTCTAGTAGTGCAAATTGCATTTGCCACTATTGGAAAGCGGCAAAGTCAAACATTCTTAGGATTCCATTAGTATTTTAGGAGAGCACATTTGCCTGTATTTGAATATGACGGTTATTTCCGTTGGACGAGATGTTATGTGCTTTTGCAAGCTAGACCATTCAAATTGGTCATAAAGCTACTCATGAGTGAGTCGTTCTCATCCCTGTTTTTCCGCCTACAGGTCCGTGTGTGTGCCTTTTCAGCCACTCAACTCCGGTTGCAAGGGATTGGGATCAGCCCAGATTGCAATCCAGAAAATAGGGGGAGTTCCAGAGAGGTAATCTCAGTTCCTGCAGTAAGTTTTGATTATCCATGGCGAGGATAACTGACAATAGGATATTATCAGGTTTTCAACTGGGCGCTCAAACCTGCAGAAGATGATATCCTTGACAGGCTGTTTGAGCTCGGGTACCTTGATGCTGCAGTCTGGGCTGAGGAGAACCCAGTTGCGGAAGTAGTTGAAGATGATTCTCCTTTTGTTAAAAATGATTCTGTGTAGCACAGCTGATGGTAAGGTGCTTGGACTAAGATCCCGAGTGAAGATGCTAAGAAACGTGCATCCAGTTGCGTCATGCTCGACTGAAAGACAAGATCAATCTTCTTTCTTGTAGAGTAACACCGGATGCGAATTGAGAGGATAAAGTAGCAGAGTACACAAGGTTTCATTTTTGTCAAAATAGTACATGAGGTTTGCACAGTAGTTGTAACATGAACTTATCTACATCTTATATGTAGAAGCTAGTGAAAGGGATATTAAGAACACAAAAGAATATCAGATAATGTAGGTTTGTTTTTCAGGGAAAGCTCAATTTTTTGAGTAAGAATTTAACTATACTCTGCATTTTTTATCTGGTTTCCATCTTCATTTTCTTTTCTAATGTGTAAGCCACATTGACCTATCATCTGCAAGAGAAGGTTGGGCTCTTGTCTAGAATTTTGCCTAGTAATGGACTTTGAAATTTTTCCCCTCTTTGTTGATGTGTGATTTACTGCCTTTCCTTTCTACGCTTCAGTGCTCAAAAGCAGAAATCTATTTGTGAGAATCTTGGTCCGTCAAGAGTTTAAACGAAAGAAACATCGATAGTTGAATTAAATCAAATCACATAAACATGTAAGCCCTACATATACAAAACTCAAAAGTAAGATTCTACGCACTGTTTTTATCACTCAAATCTTTTGTTCAAGCAGATTCAAGCATTGCGCCGGCATTCGACTAGTAACTGAACAATATGGAACTTCAACCAAACGCGTAATCACTCCACTAGTCCCATATCAAAGTAATCTTTCTGATCCAAATCCATTTCACATGCATGACCTTAATCTTAGTTAGGTCTCGGGTGAATGTCTTGGTAAATTTGATGATTCCAAATTATTCTAATTATTCTGACATTGCTTGAGTCCAATTAATGTAGTCGGCCCTATACTTTAAATGTGATTGTAGACAAGATAAAATAGAAGAAAAGATAAAACCAAAGTTTCTTCAAATCTTCTTCAGTCTACAGGCAATTCTTAATTGCACTGCAATGATGTTTCTCATCATTTAAAAGTATTCTAGACATCCAAACATAGTTGCTCCTTCTCAAAACCCTTTTCAAGATCTAATGGCAATTCATGTCTAGTGTGCTTTATAGGTTGTGCCCTTTTTTTGTTTACATTCCTTCATCTACTGTCGACTATGAGAAGAAAATACCCAATCCCAGAATCTGCATATAACTGTCTAGAACACAATCTATTTCGTTGCGGTGTATATGCTGTGAACTACATGTTCAAAACCCTCATAACAACATAAAAGTTTAGTTTAAGGAGCCTTCCACCTTAACAGCATATTTCCGTTTTCCAGAATTTTCACAGCTCTCTGAGACTCTATTTTAAGAATTAACGACGATTAATCTGTCACAAATCATATTATATTGAATCATGTAGCAAAGGAACATATATAATAAGGCTTAAGAAAGAATGTTGGTCCTTTAACCTTGCAATTTTTCAATTTCATCACAGAAATTTTCTTTTGTGCAAATCAAATTTTCTAATTACACGCTATGCTCCCCTCTGGTATGTATTCTAATTTTGCAATAATGGAACAGTATAACACAATTGATTGCTATGTATGCTCTCACTGGAAAATTTATAAAACCAAATATGATTTTTCAAATGAAATTTTACAGGTCTTGCATTAGCTATTGAAAAATTGCAACATCCTGTTTACTCTGTTGTTTGAGGCTTGGAGATGTAGTCTTATTTGTAGTATGTTCTGACAGACCTTTTTTGCATTTCCTTCATTTTCCCGTTAATCAACTATTGCTTTTACTTCGGTAAGCCTTTGTAGATCTCTGTTAGAGCCATATGAATGACATAGAACGTTTGGAATTGAAGGTCAAATAAAAGATTCATAGCTCTCAACTTACTAGAGGCATTGCTATCAATTTCAAAATCCAATGTAGAGTTCAAGAACTTATTTCGGTGAAAAGTATCAGAAAATTGATTTACAAGATTTAGTTGGAAATGGATCAAGTGGAAGATTACATGCATTGTACGCGAATTATTTTTTTCAAAATTGATAAACCATATGAAAATGAGGAATGTCCTTTTTAATGTTACTATCAATAATATATTTGTTGTAGTAATGAGACAACAGAGATTATGCTAGATTTCCATCATTGAGCTATTATGAAAGTTGGGGAAAATTACCAAAACAGTCATAAACCTTTTTATTTAGCAAATTCAGTCATAAACCTTTTGCATTTGTGCCAATTCTGGGATACCGGCCGGTGTTGGCCATCTGGTCCTTGTTTCATGTTTTATCAATAACATATTTGTTATAGTAATGAGACAATGGAGATTATGCTAGATTTTTGTCATTGAGCTATTATGAAAGTTGAAATGCCTTTTAAGTGGAAATATAGTTTGGAGAATAGACCGATAGTTCTGTTGCTTTCTCCCGAGTGTTGTCATGTTTGTTCTACAATGGATAAAGCAAAAGAACCTGCAGAGTTTTACTTGATTTACCTTCCCTTTGTGTTGTGTTCCATTTTTTAAAAGGAAATTTGACCCAGTTGATGAGATTAGATAACTTAAGCGAAGACCGAATATGAGATGAGAGACTGTTCTTTGACAGATAGTGCAAGGAGAACCCATTCATGCCAAAATCTTGACTTTCCAAACCAACTCAATCTATTCAAATTCTATTTGTAGGCATAATGTGTCTCAACAAACTCAGTGTTGTTCTTGTCATGACCCATCTCTACCAACTCAAAGCCTTGAGACTTATCTATATTATTGAGGGAAAAATAGTGTTTGCAGCACTTACTGGACTTCTCAATATTACCCTTGCTACTCAAGAAACTCATCTCATCAAGTAACCATCCACTTCATACATGTCTAATAAGCAACCACTATCACCTTAATATTAGCAATACTGCTTCTTGAAATTCTCTTTGCATACTCTAGCTCTTTAGCATGGAGCTTATTGAATTGCTTCAGCAGTTCTTTAATTTTTCTCTTCTTTTCTTTAATCTTTTGATTGGCTTGTTTTACCCCGTTCTATATAGTAATCTATTTTGTGTTTTTCTACCTTGGCCTATTTCCCGGGTTCGTGACTGGTAAATGCGGTTGACATGAGCTCTCATGCATTCTGCATGCCTTTTCGGTAGAAATATCTTGTTATTTTCGTAAACTTGGTTACCGGTAAAGTATTGTTAGGCACGGATCATTGCGTTTTTGGCCATAGTTCTAGTAGTACAAATTGCATTTGCCACTATTGGAAAGCGGCAAAGTCAAACATTCTTAGGATTCCATTAGTATTTCAAGAGAGCACATTTGCCTGTATTTGAATATGACGGTTATTTCCGTTGGACGAGATGTTATGTGCTTTTGCAAGCTAGACCATTCAAATTGGTCATAAAGCTACTCATGAGTGAGTCGTTCTCATCCCTGCTTTTCCACTTACAGGTCCGTGTGTGTGCCTTTTCAGCCACTCAACTCCGGTTGCAAGGGATTGGGATCAGCCCTGATTGCAATCCAGAAAATAGGGGGAGTTCCAGAGAGGTAATCTCAGTTCCTGCAGTAAGTTTTGATTATCCATGGCGAAGATAACCGACAATAGGATATTATTAGATTTTCAACTGGGCGCTCAAACCTGCAGAAGATGATATCCTTGACAGGCTGTTTGAGCTCGGGTACCTTGATGCTTGCATGATCAGAGGAGAACCCAGCATGCGGAAGTAGTTGAAGATGATTTTCCTTTTGTTAAAAATGGTTCTGCGTAGCACAGCCTGATGGTAAGGTGCTTGGACTAAGATCCTGAGTGAAGATGCTAAGAAACGTGCATCCGGTTGCATCGTGCCCGACTAAAGGACAAGATCAATCTTCCTTCTTGTAGATTAACACCAGATGCGAATTTGAGAGGATAAAGTAGCATAGTACATAAGGTTTGCACATTAATGTATCCAAGGATGCAGGGTGATATTGCAAAGCAAACCTGCCAAGGATCGCTCTTGAGATGATTCGAAACAACTCAAATTCGAATGGTTCGACTCATGAGTCAACCGGGAATAAATCCTCGACAGTGCATGTAATTTCAATGTTAAACCCTTATGCAAGCCGTCCCATATGAACTGCCTGAACATGCACTGTAAGATGTTAAGACAGACAAATAAACACTAAGGGTGTCCAGGACCGGCTTAGAGGGGCATGAATGGACTGAGCACTGGCTGAACACTCACCGTTCAGACCGAAGAACTGCCTGGACAGTGTACAATGAGCATCCAGCCCATTCCTGGGTCTTGAAACGCCCCTGAAAGGTGCCTCGACGACCTCGGAACATCTATACTAACTACTTATCAGGTGACTCAAAGTACGAGAACACAGAGGATACTAGAAAATATAGAGGTTATAAAAGCAGATATCACCGAACTGATTACCTGTTCTGGAGCTCAAATCAAAATGATTTGAACGTGTGCGGCGACAAAGATGTAAGCACGGTGGGAAGACGCCCTATCGGCCGCAAATCTTAGTCACGTGGAGTCTCACGACATTCTTGATGGGCTTCATGAAGCTTTTGAGGTTCAAGCAATCCGACAAAAGGGGTAAAGATTGCTAGCACGCTCACACCAAGAAATGAACTTAGAATAATGAGACCACCGTTAGTGTTTGCGGAAGCCGGGGTTTGTTTTGTGAGTGAGTGATTTAGACAAGGACTTTAATTATTATATTGGAGATGGAAGATAGTGAAAGGCAAAGTAGGGAGCGAAGGAAGACGAGGAGTTTTATATCAATGTGCCTAAATTAAGATCTTGATATGTAATTGCCACGGCCCAAGGAAGCGAAGGGCTCCGAGCTCATCCGTGAACAAGACGTGGCCCCTTACGTGCATGGGACGTGATTAAACTAGTAAGGGACTTGCAAACAAGTCTTATTCATGTCAAGCCAGTGTTACTTAAAGCGACTTCTAGTTCCAAGACTCCGAAAGCTTTACGTTAACGCCATCTTTAAATCCTAGTATGGGATTGCGGTAGATGTCACCTATCTTGATTTCCGTCCACCTATAAATAAATAGACCGAGAAGAAGATCATCAGACAACTTTTCTCAGATCTCGGCCACATTACCTAACCAGAGACAATCGATATATTTGAAAATGGATTGAGAATTTGTTTACCCAAATTTTGTAATCAGTACATGAAGAAACACTCATAAAAACACTCGAATGTATTCGACACCAGCACGATGTCTTGCACTTCCATCGAAAGGCACGGAGTTCTTCGATATTGTGTCTGAGTCAAGATCCTGATATGCAATTGACACGGACCAAGGAAGCGAAGGGCTCTGAGCCCATC